AAGAAAAAAAAAAAGTTAAAAATAATTATAATAAATAAATAAAAGTTCATTACACCCCCCCCCCCCCGGTTGTGAGCATGGGTATAATATTTGCTAGTTGGATATAAAAGATTGTCCAGTATTCTAATAATTAATGTGTTTAAGTGCATTTAATAACTTTATTGTTTTAGCATTTATTTATTTGTGAGTGCGTGTAGTGTGTGTGTGTGTGGGGGGGGGGAGGTTTGCAAGGGGTCTCAAAATCCTATTAGCCTAAGGTCTCCAATGAGCTAAATCCGACCCTCGATTTACCCATACCCTTATGGTAGTGTATGCTTCTTTCCAATGCCCTAGGACCCGCCCATGTCAATGTACCTCCATCCCTACTTCCCGTGGCCTAAAAGGGAGGCTAACATCCCCCCAGCACGGTTCCCAAGGGGAGAGTACTACTCTTACTATCACGACGCCTTCCAGTCCAGCAGAGCAGCTCACCATCGTCTGCTGCCCCTGAACCAACGGGTGCAAACTCACGAAATACCACATGTTAGTAGAGTGTTGCATTACATTACATGTAAATAAACCAGATTGTAACATTATACCACAAGCAACTAGATTGTAACAGTGTAACACATTTACGTAGATTGTGAGTAGATTGTAACATTATATTACATGTAAGTAGATGGTAACATTATATCGCATACAACTAGATTGTAACAGTATAACACATGTAACATTATGCCACACTATGTAACCAGATTGAACCATTATACCACATGTAACTTGATTTTAACATATCACATGAAATGGACTTGTGCCCATTCGTTTTTTTTAATGTTCATTTTTTAGGTACATATATGATATAAATATATTATTTAAATTTATAATTATATGTTATATTTATGATTTTTTTGTTGTTCCAATGAAGGTATTTGCGGACACGTTTAATCTTGTATATTGCATTATCATAATTAAAGCTTAACGTATATTGTTTTATTGACACACAAATTGTGTCTCAATAATCTACTTAAAAGATTCTTTTACTTACAATTACCGGTACATAAAGTTATAGACTATTTAATTTTGTAAAAGCTGTCTTAACTCAAATTAACATCGTCCAACCCATATTTTCTAAATTATTATGTCACAATATTATATAGCTTCGTTTTTTTCTTCTTCTTTCTATCCGCAGACCTAGGGGAGAACAACTTAGCCATCAGCTCCGTTGGAAATTATGGAAATGTTTAATTTTAACATATTTAAAAAAAAAATCTTTTAAATGAGCTTAACATATTTAGTTTGATAGTAAGCCAAATTTAATAATGCTACTAATAAACATTTGCTGTTTAATAGCGTTGAATTTTGCATATTTATTTAGATTTTATGTGTTCAACCTAGAAATTAACATAGACATAAATATAAATGATCACACACAAAACTTTAATTGGGTTTTTAAAACGTTCACATTATGAGGTCAGCCCCCCCCCCCCCAGAAAAAAACCAAACAAAAAACCCAACCCACTCCAATGTCTAGTTTACCAACACTAAGCCAATGTCTAGTTTACCAACACTAAGCCAATGTCTAGTTTACCAACACTAAGCCAATGTCTAGTTTACCAACACTAAGCCAATGTCTAGTTTACCAACACTAAGCCAATGTCTAGTTTACCAACACTTAGCCAATGCCGCCATCATATTAGGAAATATTACCAACGAGGACGATGGATAAATAAACTGTTGCTAAATAATCTTACTACCTGTTTATTCAAATAAATCGGCTCGTGATTAAATTAATAAAATATTATCCATTTGTATTTTGATTAATTGTTCAAATATATGTTACAATTTACTTGTGGTTGTGTAGTTAACTACCACTGGGGGTCGTGAATAATGTATTCTTAAAATGCTTATAATTGGGTTCGACAGAGAGGGGAGCGGCTGAGATTATGGGCTCAAGGAGGTTGTGGTAGCATAAAGTTGGAGAACCAATATGGCGGATGGTTGAAATGCGGCGGAAACAGAAAGAAAGATTTGAGGTTTATGCGGTGTATGTTGTGGAGGGAGGGATGAGTTGGAAGTCAGGGGCTTAGAAGCAGTAGTGAATAAAAGTTGCAAGATTATTTGGGGATCAAAAGAAAGATTACAGAATATGTTGCCAGGTAAAATAAAAATTAAAAATATAGCAACAAATTTCAACAAGAGTCCACGGTAGATTGTAGAAAACACGCTTTACTTTACACCTCCCAGGAGAGGTAACTTATGTGTGCTTTAAATACAAAGTCATTGACGATGACTTGCGACTTCTAATAAACGATTACATCCCCCCCCTTCCCCCCCCCCCACTTTTGAAATTTCTCCCATCGCAGTTAGCTGTTTTCTTGTTACTGTCTTTCGATGACTCAATAAAATGGTGATAACATGGAAGGAAAAAAAAATAGTTAAAAATATTTATATTCCATGACACGCTAGCACAACTCTCCATCTATGACACGCTAGCACAACTCTCCATCTATGACACGCTAGCACAACTCTCCATCTATGACACGCTAGCACAACTCTCCATCTATGACACGCTAGCACACATCATCTCTCGTTTCAGAGATAAAAATATATTTTATTATAAGACATAAACACCGAATAGCAGTTTGTATATAAATCCTTTGAGACTAAAAATAAAGACCAAATTAAATATTTGACTCCTGATATTTGTGCGCATGTTCATCATTAGGGTTGTGTCACCCAGTGCGGTGAATACATACATCCCCCTAACCCCCAGTGCTCAGTGCCGTCTTTAAGGCATTGGCCCAGTGGGCACTGGCCCAGGGCCCCGCACTTGTAGGGGGCCCCACGTTTCTAGGAGACTCACTCTTATAGAGGCATCATGCTTTAAATATTGTTAATGAATATTGAAAGATTTTGAGAATTTAATTGGATTTAAAATTCATAGTGTCCCAGTTGGTGGAGAGCAGGAACTGTTTGCCCCCCCCCCCAGCTGTTTGAGCATGGGGTGAGTGCCCCCCTTCGCCACCTTCTCACGGCCCAGGAGTGTAGTGTTGCTAGGGGGCCCCAGTGAATAGCTGTGCCCAGGGCCTCCTATGTTGTTAAGACGGCCCTGCCTGGGATGAATTATAATGTATATGTGATATTGTTTTAAAACCATCATTGCACTGGAATGAATTTTTTTTTTTTGGTATAAATAAGTTGAATGAACCAATTTCAACTTTATTGAAAGTTTATTTATTCTTATGTTACAATGTTATTCCTCTTGGTGAGTTGGGAGCAACAACTATTTGCGCCCCCCACCACTGTTTGCGGGCCCCCACCACTGTTTGAGCATGGGGCGAGTGCCCTACTTCGCCCCCCCCCTTTTAACGACCCTAGTGTCTTGTGTTGCTGGGTGCCCCAGTTCCTTGCCGTGCCCAGGGCCACCTATGCCTATGTTCTTCAGACCGCCCTGACTACCACCCCCGTNCCCCCCAGCTGTTTGAGCATGGGGTGAGTGCCCCCCTTCGCCACCTTCTCACGGCCCAGGAGTGTAGTGTTGCTAGGGGGCCCCAGTGAATAGCTGTGCCCAGGGCCTCCTATGTTGTTAAGACGGCCCTGCCTGGGATGAATTATAATGTATATGTGATATTGTTTTAAAACCATCATTGCACTGGAATGAATTTTTTTTTTTTGGTATAAATAAGTTGAATGAACCAATTTCAACTTTATTGAAAGTTTATTTATTCTTATGTTACAATGTTATTCCTCTTGGTGAGTTGGGAGCAACAACTATTTGCGCCCCCCACCACTGTTTGCGGGCCCCCACCACTGTTTGAGCATGGGGCGAGTGCCCTACTTCGCCCCCCCCCCTTTTAACGACCCTAGTGTGTTGTGTTGCTGGGAGCCCCAGTGCATTGCCGTGCCCAGGGCCACCTATGCCTATGTTCTTAAGACGGCCCTGACTACCACCCCCGTCCCTTGCGTGACATCATTTTCATTTATGGATGTCCGATTCATAGTAGTTCTTTACTCCACAATTTCACTTCACTTAAGTATCTTCGTACTCTTACATTAGTTAGGGCTTACTTATATTTATATTATTTATAACATCGTGACCAGAAAACCTGACATTTGGAAGAGAGCCAAGTAATTCTAAAGGCGAAATGTTAGGGGGTCTCGTTTTGCGTGACGAACGGGCGAAAACGGAACTGCGTGATTGGATGAACAATAAAAATTGTTTGGATCCGCTTTAGGCAGAGCCCTCAAGGGATCAGGGCAGGATAACCCTCACGATCTCAGCTTAGTCAACACTATCAACAATATGGCGGCTTCGGGACAAACTTCCCGATCTACTAGTCAACGACGAATAAGCAGAGCACCTGCCGTTATCCAAGAAAGAATAACACATTCTTTGAGGAGACGTAGAAAGACACCCGATTACAGTGCTGTTAATCCTTTTGTGAAATATGTTCTGTTTTTTTCCAATTTTGTTTTCTTGGTAAGATTAGTAAGAATAACTTGGACAACGTCAACGTCAACCGTACTGTGTACAAAATCAAAAAAGTTCATTGTTGTTTATTTCTTGTCACTTGTCTTTCTTGTATGTAGTGTGTTATTATCACAAATGCTTTCAGGTAAACTTAAGTTGACGGTACCAAGTTGACCTTACCTAACTCGAAATCAAATAATTAAATATTAATATAGAGTACTTAGACTTAGACAAATGTAATGAAATGTATAAATATAAAACAGTCTCAATAATCTTGAATCTTAGTATTATTATAAAAATCCAAGTGGCTATTCGGACCCGGCTACCAGAAGTGAGAGGATGGGATTAAAAAGTTTTAAAAATTGTATTGTTGGGTTTGTAAGATAACCATTTGGTATCGAATGATAGATAATTGAATGGACTAACTCTTCAGTTTAACTGAAATAAACTACTACAAATGACATCTGAATATGTCTGAATAGCATTTAGTCAACGTTATTGTCCCGTTTTTTCAAAATCGTACCCGGTGTCCCGAAAAAGTCTCTCGGGACGCCTAAATGTCCCATTTTTAAAACCAAATACATTTTCAAATCACTCAAACTTTCTAATTTATAATATAATTTCAAGTAATATTTTGGCTAGCTGTGTAGCCAGTGCCAGTAGTGATGTGGGCTTGCGTGATGGCTGCACTGTTCCCTCTCCACCACTCTGCAGATGCTGCGTAAATGACAGTGTCCCTGCCATAGATCAGATCTTGTTATGTTTGAAAATATGTATAAATAAATAAGTATTCACTCCAAAATTATTTTTTTTCGTTTATAATATGCATCAGAGTTTAAATTAAATTACAAAAGTGAAGTTAAAGTTAAAAAGATTTCTAGGTCTCAAAATAGTTAAAATGAGATTATTTAAAAAAAAAAAAAAAAACGGTTTCCGGCGGAGGCCCATGGACCCCACTTTAGTTGAAGGGTATTCCCCCCCCCCCCTAAAAGATTTCTAGGTCAAAAAAAAATTAAAAAGAAAATATTTAAAAAAAAAAAAAAAAAAACGGTTTCCGGCGGAGGCCCTTGGACCCCTCTTTAGTTGAAGGGTATTCCCCCCCCCCCTCGAAAAAAAACAACAACCCAACCTCCTTGGGTGTGTCCCGTTTTTTCCAGCTCACGATTTGGTCACCCTAGTATTAGCCTACTTAGTTATACTGAGGGATACATTTCAATGTCATTACTCATCTGCAAATTTTGAAGCTCTACCTTAATATATAATTAGTAGGCCTTTATATTATTATATGTATTTAATATTGTTCTAAAAATTAAAAAAACATTCATAATTTCAAACTATAGGAGGAGATATAGGCCTAGAGCAGCAACATTGTAATAGTTCTAGGGTCAGTTTATTCCAGAAAAATAAAATGCAATTTCAAAAAGAAATGAAAAAATATCTTTATATGATGCCACTTTCTCACAAAATTTTATCAGTATAAAAGAATAAGTGTTTTACGGTTGTTACCCATGCAAGACTAATGCAGGAAAGCATGAATGGTTATCTGATTAGCCTATAAAAGTAAGAAAAGGAATGGAAAACTTTCTTTCAGAAATTTACAGAAAGGTTCTATTTCAAAATTCTTTAAAAAAAACAACAAAAAAAAAACAAAAAACAAAACAATAGATACTTAAATAAATTTGCATTTAAATGAAATATTTAAAGGAGTTTTGGTTTCAGTAGCCTACTTGTTTTTAAGTACTCTACAGGAGCAAGAAAACACGTTTATCTTGAAATCAACTTCTAAATCTAAAAATGAACGCTTTAACAAACTTGGCAATTAAAGATTTGAGTTCAAGCAAATTTAGGCTACTTATAAATTGTAATAAAACTATTAAATTCACATTATCATTATTAAGATTTATTGTTCAAAATTATTAGAAATTTAGTTTCTTAGAAACATGAAATCTAGTAAAAATAGATGGCTGATAACATTTTTGATTAAGGGGTTGCAATTTTTGTAATTGCCTGCAACACACATTTTTTTTCTAAGGCCCTAACTGATTATTTAAATAAATATGCTATGTCGTAAAATAGGTAACCTTTTGTATTTATAATAAACTAGGGCTGGGTGCATTTTTTTTTACAAGGGGTCCGGGTGTTTAGAGAAAATATCAGGTTAGTCCAAGTGTTACAAAAAAAAGTTAAATTCTCATTTTCTGTAATATTACTGTCCTATGTCTTAGTGAGAGTGCATTGCCTTTTTCAATTGTTTGCTGATGGGAATAGTGATGACGTTGTACAAAAACCTGTTGACAGACAAGATACTGTTCATTTTATAACAATGACTTACAAAGCAGCAGTCACAGTACAAAGCAAATAGTAATACCTTCCTGTACCAGCATCGGGAAAGACTCACAGGCACGGAGATGCCAGAGTTGAAAGAGCAGTTCATGACCCATTTCTGAGTAGTGTGCAGCCCCAGAACAAAGATTTGTAAAACAGTGCAATTTTTAAAAAAAATTCCTTTTGCAGAAAAAAACCCAATTTACTTACTGGAGCTCAGACATTACGCATGAAAATTGCTGTGTCTCAGAGGAACACAAACAATAAAATCACTGAATAAAAATCGCCTCCCCCTAAAAAAAAGCATACTATTAGTTACTATTTACCAGTGACAGCCTTTTGTCCCTCTCAGTGCTATTAATATAAAATTATCACTCGAAGACTGGATGGCCCGAGACATAATATTTTGTAAAGAAACATCCCCCCAATCTAAAGGATGCGAGAATCTATTAACCTTACTCCATGCGCCTAACAATTTCCTCCCCAAAATCAAAACCATTTCCGTCCACCCTATAAATTATCTGAAGAACAATGGAGCTCTGTTGTCAACCCCCGTCCCAGCCATTTGTGACATATAGTACTATACAATGTAGTACTGTAATATTAGATATTATAGCAGATATTCATTTGAGTAAATATTGATTATAACTAAGTTAGAGGCGAAAGTCATAACTGTAATTTAATTATTTATATATTGACATATTATGTAGGCTGGGTCTAACTACATTTTAATTCAGTTTTTTCAGAACCTTGGATCCAAGTAAATTTTAATCCTAATTTTTAAATTGATTAAATAATTTTAATCTAAGTTTTAGTTGTTTTAATTTTTTTACTTGTAATTTATTTGAAGTTTAAACATTTGATGAACATGAGAAATACCAGATCTATTATTAATTAATTTTACATTTCTTAAAAAAAAAAATTAAATCTTTAGAAATATTACATATTATATTGTTTTATATAAAAAATGCCTACTTTATTTACAAATAATTCTAGTTTCAAAAGGGAATCTTATTTTTATTATTGAAATTTTATTGTTAAATTATAAATTATAAACCCATAGTAAGAATTTTGTTGTTTTTTAAAAGTATTCTTTGCCTTAGAAATCTGTAATGGAATATTCTTTTGATGCTGGGCGAGTTTGAAAGTTTCAAGATGGAGTATATTTGTGATGATAAGAATCTCTGTGACATTCTGATTTTCAGCTTGTTGGAATTGCATTTGCTGCTGTTGGAATTTACATTCTATCTGGAAAAACAAAATCTGTGACCAGTTTCATCGACTTCATCTTTGATCCAGCTTGTGTCCTCTGTCTGGCTGGTTTTATTATTCTCGTGGTGGCTTTCTTTGGCTGTGGTGGTGCATTGCGAGAATCACGTATTTTCCTCAGAATAGTAAGTGTACACAGATTTTACTTCACTAATGTTAAAAAATTCTGCTTTTTCATTACGCTATAACCTATTGATTCTTTGTCAACCCGTCAGCCACTAACTGATATTTTATGCACTATTCTTTCTGGCAACCTGTTAATAAATTAAATTTTTCTTCTTTCAGTATTACATTATTCTCAGTATTCTATTACTTTTGGAAATCTTGTTGGTCATCTTCATCTTTGTGTTTTATTTTGTGGATGGGGCTTTTGCCAAAATTGGCCTATACCCAGAAGAAGCATTCCGAGATGCAGTTAAACGCTACAGGGATGATCCAGACATGCAAGGATTTATTGATAACATTCAAGAACTTGTAAGTTTTGTAACAAAAACTTCATAGAATGTATAAAATATTAGTGCTGAATTTTTGTTTAAATACCAATTGTTAATGAGATTTACAATGGAATAAGTTCTTGTTTGACTGTATACGTTTTATCCCCTGCATAGAAAACGAAACCCGATCCTTTAATTTTGATTTAAAAAAATTCATCTCACCATGAAAAACAAAAATTTCAACTCTTCATCTTTTAGAAATTCCTGTTAAGCCTTCATTTCTGCTAATCAAGTCTTGTAAAATAACAAATTATTTTGGAAGTAACTATCAGTTTTTAGACAGAAAATGTTGTGACTGACTTGTCTTTTTTCTAGCTGTCTTGCTGTGGAGCAAGCAATGATGACAACGGCTACATGGACTGGGATGCCAACCCGTACTTTAACTGCAATAAAACTGCCAACCTAAGTCCTGAAGCTTGCACTGTTCCCTTTTCATGTTGCAAAATTAAGGCTGTGAGTATTAGATCCTAAAACTGTGCTTTAAATATGTCAGCTCTAGTTGAGAGAAATAACTGGAAAATTAAGTGTTACTGAAGCTACTGGCCGAGGATTTAAACTGAATTTAAATCTCAAGTTGATGGTCTGGATTTCAATCCCCACCAAAGCCCAGTCAAGCAAAAACATCACCAGCTCCCCGGGTGGATAGGACTCATTAACCTTGGATGGCCACTCATCTAAGAGGAGGAAACTCTGAATTCAAACCCGGAGATGGAGTCCTGTAGGCGGATAACATTGGTACAATGAAAAATTCCCACAACTCCTGCGACGTCACTGATGCCAAGCTGTATCATCCACATGATGTTTCCTTGGGCTATCCAGCAGGGTGGAGAGAGGCGATTTGCTGTTGGGAACCAGCTTATAATCCTAGAAGAATAATCCCAGGCCTTGTGGATTTCCTCCTACAAATTCCACCCCATCGTCACATTGTGACGGACGAATGCCAGAAAAAAAAAAAAAAGCTCAAATATTAGTTTGTAAAAAATTACATTTGACATGAGGGGAAATATCTGCTGTAGCTTAAGCTGAGAAATAATAAAACAATGAAAATACGTATCCAGACTGCTGGTGGCTATCTTTTTATATACTAACAAGTTATATAGTGTAATCAAAGGGCTGGAATCATAATGTCATTATACAATACACTGTGTGTAAAATGAACATCTATATACATTTTGTTAACATTTCAGGGAGATCAAATAAATTACAGATGTGGAGCTAACATGCTGAGTCCTTCAACAACTGACAGGGTGAGTTTATGTTGACATATTTGGGGCAGCTAGGGTGAGTTTATGTTGACATATTTGGGGCAGCTAGGGTGAGTTTATGTTGACATATATGGGACAGCTAGGGTGAGTTTATGTTGACATATTTGGGACAGCTAGGGTGAGTTTATGTTGACATATTTGGGGCAGCTAGGGTGAGTTTATGTTGACATATATGGGACAGCTAGGTTGAGTTTATGTTGACATATATGGGGCAGCTAGGGTGAGTTTATGTTGACATATATGGGACAGCTAGGTTGAGTTTATGTTGACATATATGGGGCAGCTAGGGTGAGTTTATGTTGACATATATGGGCAGCTCTTGATGTCATTGTGGCTGCTTTGATTTAATTTCCTGGCACACATATCATGTGAGGAGATGAATGTTAATAGAAAGTAACTGTGATGATATTGCTTACTTTGATGGTAGTAGAAAATAACTGTCAAGACTATGCTTACTTTGATGGTAGTCAAAAGTAACTTTCAATATAATGCTTACTTTGATGGTAGTCAAAAGTAACTTTCAATATAATGCTTACTTTGATGGTAGTCAAAAGTAACTTTCAATATAATGCTTACTCTGATGGTAGTCAAAAGTAACTTTCAATATAATGCTTACTCTGATGGTAGTCAAAAGTAACTTTCAATATAATGCTTACTTTGATGGTAGTCAAAAGTAACTTTCAATATAATGCTTACTCTGATGGTAGTCAAAAGTAACTTTCAATATAATGCTTACTCTGATGGTAGTCAAAAGTAACTTTCAATATAATGCTTACTCTGATGGCCCATTTTGTTTTGATAAAAAGCAAAGTGTAATTATTGATTGAGTTCTTGTTTCAGTCTGGCATCTACACACAAGGTTGCTTCAAAGGTCTTCAAGAGGTGATTAAAAGCAATATATGGATTGTTGGTGGAACTATTCTTGCCATCTTCATTCCCCAGGTAGAACTGATGTTGAAGATAGCACTTAACATTAATTAACAAATAATGCCTATATTTATTTACTGTGGATGTAGCACACAGGGTTTTATTGACTGTGTGTCAGTACAAATAGCCAGTAATTGTTACACAGGGTTTTATTGACTGTGTGTCAGTACAAATAGCCAGTAAATGTTACACAGGGTTTTATTGACTGTGTATCAGTACAAATAGCCAGTAAATGTTACACAGGGTTTTATTGACTGTGTGTCAGTACAAATAGCCAGTAAATGTTACACATGGTTTTATTGACTGTGTGTCAGTACAAATAGCCAGTAAATGTTACAGTTTATTTCAAAGATCTCTATTCTGTGTTTTGGTTCATTCTCAGTTCACGTGTTATAAAATAAAATAGTTGTAGCCATTTACTAGTCTGGTGGATACCGGATGAAATTGATAATAAGTCTGTATAAATTTAGCAAAAATGATAAAAATTGGATGTGAAACAACTGCGTCAGATGAGTGGTTTAACCACACAGGAAGAAGAAAAGTCATGATAATACATGCTCTGGAAAGTGTGGAGTGGGGGGGGGGGTGTTATGCACAGGTTCTTCAATGTTGTTTTGAGACATCAGGTGTTAATTAGAAATAACTTTATATATAAAGAAAGTTATTTCTTTCCATTCCTTACATTGTGTTATTCAAATTACTTTTGCAGGCATTTTTCATCTGCCTAGCTAAAGCTCTGAGATCACAGATAGAAGAACAGATGTCCAAATGGTAGGAAAAGCTCTTTACTACTGATACAAACCTACTGGTAGTACTGGTAGGAAAAGCTCTTCATCACTGATACGAACTATAACCTTTGAATGAACTATAACCTTTTAATGGAGCATGCTCTAATTTTCACTTTTCTATAAAAGAATTTATTAATTTCTTTTTTCTATTTTAAAACTTAAAAATGTATAACTCAGTTTTTATCAGAAAATGCCTTATGCAGAAAAACTATAGTTTACTTTATAATCTAATTCTGCAACAACTTAATTTAATTTAATTTTATGTATGCATAACAGAAATTTCTTTTTGTCCTTAACATTACTTTATGTGTTTAAAGTAGACAAATGTATTTTACAAAAGTCTTTTTTACTCTGTAAAGCGCCAACTGACCGAACAATTACTTTTGGGATAGCATCAATTGAACTGCCCAAAACATTTAGTTTCACTACCGGTACTTACAAAATCAGTCACTTTATTTCTTGGGTAAAATTCTGTTAAATAAATAAATTCCTTTTAAATATAAAGAACTTGTATGGCTTAAATGTGAAGTATTTTTATATGTTTTAATGACAAGAAACAATTTATAAATGATAAAATAAGATAGGAGATTATTTAATTACTGACTTAAGGTGTGTGGGTTGTCTTATCCATGAATGTACTTATTCATATATACTGGGAACAACAAATATTTTTGTTTGATATTTTTGTACATAGGCAAAAATGGTTCAGATCTATGCAATGTCCAATGGAAGCCAATCAAAACAAACATTTGCAAATACTTACTTGACATATCATGTTTTAATTCATGTAAATAATGACAATTATTGGATGTTTTAGATTGATTGATTTTATTTATTTTTGTCCCATGCAATAAAAATAACACTAAAGTTACGTCAGTTGATACATTCAATTATTAAATCTAATCAAAACTCTAACTTTTCAAGTCAGTATCAATTGCTTTTGTAGGAAACACTCCTGTCAAATTGAAAGTCTTCACTTAGATCAGCGGTTCTCAACCTGTGGGTCGCAACCCCTTTGGGGGCCGCACGACTCTTTCCCAGGGGCCGCCTAAGACAATCAGAAAACACATATACTTTACAGTTATGATGTAGCAACGAAAATAATTTTGTGGTTGGTAACTGTATTAAAGGGTCATGGCATTAGGAAGGTTGAGAACCACTGACTTAGATAATTGGACTTTCATTATTTAGATACTGACTAACAAAAATCGCTTTATAAAATTAATTACAAAAAAAAAAATAGAAACAAATATTTCAACCTTACTAACTATTGGAGTTGAATTGTTTTTGATTTCATAGATTTAAAGTGACACTTTTAACTAGTCAACAAGTTTACACTTAAAATGTTGCTTTTTTATCTATTCATTGTTTCTTTGTATGTATTTTATGAGAATTTTATATATTATAAGAAATGTTTCATTGATGTCTGCCATACTTGTAGGTTTCGTTTACATTTAGTTCAAGGAATTTTTTATATAGCAGAATTCAATCTTGAACTTGTTTTCTTAAGTTTAATAATATTACATTTAAAGAAATGATAATGAACAATTTCAGCTGATATTTACCTGTCATGATATTATTAAAAGATAAGATAAGGTTCAGATACAAAATATTTTTTTATAGATCCAAAGAAAAGATGATATATTTTGATGACATTGAACCTATTTTTTTTTTAGCTAATCAAATAAAGCACAACAAATTTAATTTATTTAAAAATTTTTATAAGTATTTTAAACGGGAGCAAATGCCAGCCATCATGTGTCAAAAAAAACTCAGTCTCATAATTAAAACTGTATTACTTCTTTTCTTGACATCCAATTATCAACAAGCATGAATAAAAGCGGAGAAATGGTTTTAATCTCATGGTCTGTTACCCGTGAAATGTTTCTATGTTTACTTGCAGGAGTTATCATATTATTGTTTCCACTTTGAGTCTGGGTCACATAATTTTTAACATCATGAAAATTTATCTTATGGAATTATAAGTTTCACGGAATTATTATTTGAACACAGCAATCTTAGCTAACTATCTTACAGCTTGAGCACCGTAGAAGACAAGACATCTTTCTAGAGAGTTGTTCGTCTCTCTAGAGAGTTGTTCCTAAGTGGCTTGTGTAGTATATTTATAGTGCTCCAGGAGATATTAAGGGCCCACGATCAAAGTGTTAATGCTCCCGAAGCCCGAAAAAATTGTTCCACATCGACCTGTCAAGAAATTACACATTGCAACACGATTGAGTTTGTTATGAGGGAAAAAGTTCAGCTTCTTAACAGTCCAAAAAACTTTCAGATCCAAAAATATCCAATATCCTTTGATAAAATTTGAAGGAAACATTTTAAAAAGTGAGAAAATATGAGAGAAATTTCACTGCTGCCTGTTAGGCGCCGGCTGAACTCTCAACACTGTTATAGTACGCAACAAGACATTGGGTCGGCGGCACATTAGGTAGAGGAGCCAAGTATCGAGTGAACTGGGTGTAATGTCAGTATAAGGAGCTGGTTAGCTTCATTTTTATCATCTTATGAAAGGAAAAATACATATCCCAAGATAAACATTCTGACTTTGGCCAAAGTCTTTAGTGCATTTTCCACAGCTTTTACTATTTCTTCCTAATAAATTTTGTCAAAATTTCAGATTTCCTTCCTTGTGTGCTCTTTTTATTCCGCCATTTATTTGTGTTGTAAGTTTTCAGACTTAAGTCAACTGAACACATTCCATGTCTTACATTCTAATTATTTCATTCCATTTATTGTATACACTTATTGGGTATATACACATGATTATTACAAAAGTTATATAAAGGAATGTAAATTTTAATAAAAAGCTTTTATTGGAATAAACTATTTATTTGAAGTGAATCTCTGTGTTCTTTCATCAGATTAGTAAGTGTGTGTTTAATTGCTGGGTTCAGGGCTCTCCCCTATCTAGGGGTTGACACCTTCACACAGCACACTCCTCAGAAATCTTGGGTAACACCTTCACACAGCACTCTTCTCACAAGAGTCTTGGGGTAAACACCTTCACACAGCACTCTCCTCACAAGAGTCTAGGGTAACACCTTCACACAGCACTCTCCTCACAAGAGTCTAGGGGTTGACACCTTCACACAGCACACTCCTCACAAATCTTGGGTAACACCTTCACACAGCACTCTTCTCACAAGAGTCTTGGGGTTGACACCTTCACACAGCATTCTCCTCACAAGAGTCTAGGGTAACACCTTCACACAGCACTCTCCTCACAAGAGTCTAGGGTAACACCTTCACACAGCACTCTCCTCACAAGAGTCTAGGGTAACACCTTCACACAGCACTCTCCTCACAAGAGTCTAGGGTAACACCTTCACACAGCACTCTCCTCACAAGAGTCTAGGGTAACACCTTCACACAGCACTCTCCTCACAAGAGTCTAGGGTAACACCTTCACACAGCACTCTCCTCACAAGAGTCTAGGGTAACACCTTCACACAGCACTCTCCTCACAAGAGTCTAGGGTAACACCTTCACACAGCACTCTCCTCACAAGAGTCTAGGGTAATTACCACAACTTGCCACCAACACTTAATAAATCATGGTAAACAACACTCCAGTGAGTTACTGCTCTTTATTCTGAACAATGTTTTTAAACACACATTTTTGTCACACAATAAAATAGATTCCTAACTCCAACAGTAACCCAACATGCCTGATACTACCACATTGATAATGTGAACAAACAATCTCCTAGTGATTATAGTTTGATGATCATATCTTTTCCCTTTGTTCCATAACTTCTGGTTCATAATTTTATAATTGCCCATTGAACTCTCATTCATTGTGATTCGAGTCAGGGTCTTTGATAGGTCAATAGAGCCTAGTACCACTCTCCGTTTTTAGGTCCCTTTGTCACTATGGTGTCATCTTAAGTGATTCTTGAGATGAAGAGTCTGCAGATTCAAACTTGAAGTATTTTCTGAAGAAAACTTATATACCGGTAATTAAATGGATGTTTCAATTGGCAAGTATTTATTTATGTGAGTTAAATTAAAATGTACCGATAGCATTCATTGAAATTTAACTTACATGATTCCGAAGAACTAAAATTCCTCCACAATTTCATTAAGATTTAGCTGACTTCTAAAGAGATTTCATTTATGGTCAGTTATAAATTAGTTTTATTTTGGGTTTAAAAACCTAAAGTAATGAGACAGCCATTTCTAACAGTTTAAAAGTTTGACATTCAAAATAATTACCCTATAATCAGTATTTAAAAGTAAGAACCTCCATTGTTATTTTGTTTACATTACATTGCCTTAAAGTTATTATTCAAATGAATTGTTGTTATTAAACTTTTTTGGTTGGTGTGTGTAGTTGTTCAAAATAAATAACATTGAGGTCATTTTTATAAATCTACAGGAAAAAATGTTTGTACCGGTATTCAAAACAGAAAAGTTTTTCTTAATAGATGATAAAGAACTTTTAAAATCCAGTGATATCATGGTTTATTTTTGTAGCAACACAATATATACTTTTTATGTTTTAGGTGATGTAAAATTAATATTTTATGAAAAAAAAAACGTTCACCAAGATACGATAAATCTTTTATATTTGATTCAACAAATATTGCAGTTTTTAAAAAGTTTTTTTTTTTTTCTTTTCATTTTAAAAGGAAATTAGTAATAACGGGAAGTAACTTTATCCTATCTAATATTCTATAAATATTTGAGTTACCCCCATTTAAATAAAGAAATGAAGTTGTTTAGACGTTGATTGGGGAGCAGGGCACAGTCCTGTTTTGGAGGTCTGGGGTTGAGAGGTACATGAGAGGTACAGCGATTAAAATATAATTAACGAATTATAAGTAAAAACTGAATAACACTTGATAAGAGATACAACACATATTTTTTTTTTGAAATTTCGAGGACTCATGCTTCAAAAAATGGTTCTCAAACTTTTTTTCGCCAACCTCCCCATTTTGGCCACGTCCTTACTACCCACGTCTTCATGGGCGCCTGCAGAAAACTTTCAAGGGGGGGGGGGGGCAAAAAAAATCGATTAATTTTCCAGGGGGGGGCAAACAATTTTTAGTAATGTTTTAATATAGTTTTAATTTACCGTAGCGTATTTGTATGGTGAACGAACGGACAGGACATCAGCTTAGTTACTTTCTCTTTATTTTCTCTTTACTTTAATAAATTTGTTGTCTATTTTTGTCTATTTTTGTCTAATTTTTTTTTATCCAATCAATCCAGGGGGGGGGGGCAAGTGCCCCCCCCCCTTGCCCCTACCTGCGGGAGCCCATGCACGTCTTAAATTGTTTAAAATAATTTTTCAGAATAGTAGTTTTCCCACAAGCTTTTAACTTTAAAAATAATTCTAACACCCTTAAATAAAAACTTTCAACTTGTATTGGAAAGGGGAAAAGGGGGGGGGGTCTATGTGTAGATTAATTGTGTTTCAAGGTTCTCAAGACATTTCATACCAGTAACACACTTTCTTCACTGTTAAAATGCTCTTAATAAGTTGGATATTCTTCTTCTTCTTCTATATATTAAGGGCCCACGATCAATTTATTGATCATTTTGGCTCCTATGCATGTAGAGGGGATTTGCAATGTTTCTGTACCTGGTGTTGATAAGGATATTTCAATGATTACAAGTGCTACTTTGTGAAGGAATCATGCAATGGGGGTTGGAAGGCTTGAAGCAATAGACGCAAATGTGTCTAGTGTTGTCGCCTCAACTGTTTCTTTTGAAAGCTTGTTCCAGTCACTGATTGTCTTGGGCAGGAATGAGCAGTTCCTATCAGGAGTTACCTGTCATGGCCACGTCGCTGTCTATGGGGGAGAGGGACGAGTTTCTGTTTAATACTAGAACAGTGGACAAGCCCATTATTTATTTTGTACATCATGGAGAGCCTGGATTGTCGTCTTTGTTCCTCCAATGGTGACCAGCCTAGTGTTTCCAGCATACTGCCAACACTAGAGGTATTCCTGTAGCGGTTCAGAACAAAGTGTGCTGCCCGTCGCTGGACCGCCTCCAACCTGTCAATGCTCCTCTGGGTAAATGGGTCACAGACTGAAGATGCATAATATAAAACCGGACGGACAAAGGCTTTAAATGCTCTTTCTTTTACACAGGAGTTGCTTTAAGAACCCCAGGGACATGTTTTACTCTGGTTGAACGATCTAGACTCAGAAATCTCCACACTCAGTAATCTAGAGCATATTTGTGTGCTCGGGGTCAAAATTGAGCGATGACACTAAAACCATGTTCCATCGAACACGATGTTGCCATGGCAACAAGAAGTTTCTTAACAACTTTCCCCAGTTCTGGATAATGATTTGAAATTCATTTGTTGTCAAAACTTTTGTTACAAGCTCCTGAACTTTGGCTTCAGCTCTGTATCAATTTTAACCGACTTAAAGCTTGTGTGAACAACACCGAATGTCTTAGAATGAACAACACCAACTATCTTAGTATCAACAACACCAACTATCTTAGTATCAACAACACCAACTATCTTAGTATCAACAACACCAACTATCTTAGTATCAACAACACCAACTATCTTAGTATCAACAACACCAACTATCTTAGTATCAACAACACCAATTGTCTTAGTATCCACAACACCAACTGTCTTAGTATGAACAACACCAACTGTCTTAGTTTCAACAACACCAACTGTCTTAGTATCAACAACACCAATTGTCTTAGTATCCACAACACCAACTGTCTTAGTATCAACAACACCAACTGTCTTAGTATCCACAACACCAACTGTCTTAGTATCCACAACACCAACTATCTTAGTATCAACAACACCAATTGTCTTAGTATCCACAACACCAACTGTCTTAGTATCACCAACACCAACTGTCTTAGTATCCACAACACCAACTGTCTTAGTATCAACACCAAATTTATAAATTATAAATGACAGTTTACGAAGACCCTCATTCGCCGGACACAATTTTATCCACACCATCAGAATGGTTATTATATATATATATATTTTATAACAGTAGCGCATGGGTGACATTCTGAAAAGAGAGATAAATACCAGTTGGGATATTGCCAGATTGAATCTTCGCTTAAGTCAGTTTTTAACCCAGAACTCAGTTAAAGTATACGTCATTAAATGAAGGGCTGCGTTCTTCTTTGATTTCTTCATTTGTCCTGTCTGCCGAGGAAGGCTCTTAGCCGAAACGTTCTTCTTTTATTGTCTTGTCTTTCTATTTCAAACATACCGTGTTCTTGTATTTAAAATCTACGAGCAGAGTGGCACCAGATAAGTTTGCCACAAGAACAGGGTGTCACCAGACAGAGCAGGGTGCCGTCATGTTAAATTGCCACGAGAAAAGGGTGCAACAGATCAGGTTACACACAGAAAAGGTTGCCACAAGAGCAGGTTGCAACCAGAACAGGGTGTCACCAGAGCAGAGTGCCACCAGATCAGGCAGACTTAGTGAGGTGGGGGGGGGGGCGCTGGGCGGCGAGGCTAGTCCGCCCCGGGCGACACTTCCTTTTCTTTTTATTGAGGGGTGGTATTTTGGCCTTCACCTGGGTTGTTTTTGTCGTGGAAGTGGAGCCACAAAAACTTGAGCCTACCCGGGTGACACTGACACATACCCTGGCTACTCTACTTCCCACTCCATTGCCCACTCCATCGCCCACTCCACTGCCCACGGTACACATTATGGCAAAGCCAACGCTCATAAAGACGGAATGTAAACACGATGTAATGTAAACACGATGGATTATAAAAATAATTTTTGGCAAAACATGCTGTCATTCAAACAATATAATGTCTACTTTTTTGAAAAGACGTCATAAAACGAAGGTGTCATTTTAACAAATATAATGATAGTATGACGT